GCTCCTCCTCAGTTCCCTCTCAGCTCCCCCTCAGCTCCTCCTCAGCTCCCCTTCAGCTTCTCAGCTATTCCTTAGCTACCCTCAGCTTCTCCTCAGCTCCCCCTCAGTTACTCCTCAGCTTCGGCGTTTCAGCTATTCCTTAGCTACCATCAGCTTCTCTTCATCTACCCCTGAGCTATTCCTCAGCTTCTCCTCAGCAACTCCTCAGCTTCTCAGCTATTCCTCATCTACCCCTCAGCTTCTCCTCAGCAACTCCTAAGCTATTCCTCAACTCCCCCTCAGCTTCTCCTCATCTACCCCTCAGCTCCCCCTCAGCTACTCCTCAGCTTCTCAGCTGCTCCTCAGCTTTTCCTCCGTTCCCCCTCAGCTACTTCTGATACGACTCCCAAGTCTTTGTGTAGAGCAGTGGTTCTTAAAGTGTGGCCCCCATTCTCAGCATGACCTGAGAACTTGATAGAAATGCAAATTTTTGATCTCTACCCCAGACCTACTGAGTCAGAAACTCTGAGAGTGGGGCCCAGCAGTCTGCTTTCGCAAGCCATCCAGGTGACTCTGACGCACACACCAGTTTGATAACTGCTGGCTTACTCATTCTCTGTGCCTTACTCCCTAGATTTCTGATCGCCAAACCCTCCTGCCCTCTGCTCCGAGAGATGGCTCAGGTTCAGTCTGAACCATATCTTGTTCAGTTGCCACAGGGGCTTATTTCTCTGTTTTCCCAGGTGCACTGCATTCTGAGGATAGGGACGGGGGCCTCTGAATGCCCACCCCACCTATGTGGGGTCAGTGTTCTGTACTGGGTGTGCATCCAGTGAATGCTGGGAAGGCCCTCTCACCGTGCCCCAGGACAAATTCTGCTTTCCGGAGGGCCCCTGTCTCCCAGCTCTAGTGAACTCACTTTCTGGGTCTCTCCCCTGGCCCGTCTTCCTCCTCAGAATGTCCCTCTCCCCCTCCTGCCTCTGCAGTGCTCTTTATGAGGTCTCATTCCACTCTCAGAAAATAGCCATCCCTGGTTCTCCTTTCCCAGGCCCCGCTCTGGGGACCCACCGCCTGTTTTCCTGCACTCAGGGGGGCAAGGTCATTCACACCCTGCTGGGCCACCCCTGCAGGCTTCCATCCTCCTGCTCTTCCGTCACCGTGGTAGGGGTGGAGCAGGGAGGGCACCCTCGTCTCGGCCCACCTATCCATCCAGCCTTCTCTCCTCTGGGTCAGCTCGGGCCACTGTGTCCACTGAGACAGGTATGCCATACACGGGGAGGCTGGCTGAGGAGATGAGTGGGGACTAAAGTCCAGCCCACACTGCTCCCCAAGCCGTGCACTCTGGTTTGGGGTGGCATCAGCCTGGAGGTAAAGGATGCCTTTTTAGAATTTGCACAAAGATGCTGTATGGGTTAGCAGCAGTCCCGAGTGCACCACCTCTGTCTGTCCGTTTACCTAGCCCCCAGCGTCCCTCTGTCTGCTACCACCTCCCCATCCGGCCCACAGCAGTCCATCCTTCTGTCCATCCATCCACCCCTGAACAGATGTGAAGGTCAAACACAGGCTGGTATGTTCACCTGTCCCCACGCTCCCTGAAATCGGACCCCTCCCTTCCACTGGATTCTAGGCTTGAGAATCTGAGGGGGTGCTCCAGCTTCAGCACATTCCCAGGGCTCTTGCCTGCCTCCTTCTCCACCTCTGACATGCAGCTCCCAGGTACCGGTGTCTGGCCCTGCCACAGGGGTCTGGAGGAAACGGGTCACACCTTGGACTCGCTCTCTGGGGGCGGCAGGCAGCCATTCTGCTCCTTGTCAGCACCAGCCTCTCCCCCTGCCCCCTCCCCGGCCCCCTCCTCCTCCACCTTCTCATCCAGCCGGCTGGGGATGGACCAGTAAAGATGGGCGTCAAGGCGGGCAGCGGCTTCGGCCAGCTCCCGGGCGCTGCACGAGGGTGTGGGCACCTCAAAGGTCTGGTGGAAGCTGGCATAGTCCACCTCATAGAAGCCATCCTCCAGGGTGAGCACTGATGTGAAGCGGTGGCCCCACAGCACCTCATCCACCAGGTAGGAGCTCCGAGCTTGGCATGTCATTCCTGGGGGGAGGGGCACGGGTCAGGGGGGGATCCCAGCCCCAGGCTTCCCTCTCCTGGCTCTCATTCCACAACCCTATTCCCACACCCCTCCCTCTCTCCTTCCCCAAGGGTCCCCCACCCCCCCTTGATCCAGCCCGTCTTCTCCCCCTTCTCAACTCCTTCCTATACCTGCCCAGCTCCCTCTCTTCTGCATTCGTCCCAACTCTGTCAACCTCCAGCCCATCTCTCCCCTCCTCTGCCCATCAGAGAAGCTTAACCTTGAAACTGACCTTAGGGATCATCTAGTCCAACTTCCCTTTCCACACAGGGCTTCCCATTGGAGCATCCCACTAATGGGCATTGTGCTGGTACTTATCACCACCCAGGATGGAGAGCTCACCACCTCACAAGTGTGACACCTCTAATCGGTTGTTCTTAAATAAGAGCTAAAATCTGGGGACACCTGGCTGGCTCAGTCGGTTAAGCGTCTGCCTTCGGCTCAGGTCATGATCCCAGGGTCCTGGGATTGAGTCCCCCATTGGGCTCCCTGCTCGGCAAGGAGCCTGCTTCTTCTTCTTCTTTTTTTTTTTTTAAAGATTTTATTTATTTATTTGACAGAGAGAGGCATAGCG